TTAATGTCCATTGATAGCTACAGTTGGCTGACATTTTTGGGGGGGTTCTGAAGCTTGAAGGAATGTATAATCACAGTAAAGTACATGATAATTCTTAGAGACCATCACCTGTGTACCATTACATTTCAATGTACTTCCCAATCTACTGCAGCTAATTTTCCCTTCATACCTTCAATTTCTTTTGTTCAAATTTCATATCTTGATTTTAGTTTGAAATTCAAATTCAAACAACTTTAAAACATTTTTAAACATCTTGAATAAATCTGTTTTTAATGCATCATTAGTCAACTCTCAAACCCTCTTGTCTTTGCACTGCTGGCCTTAATTGAGGGGTTTGTCCCAAAATCTTATAGCCAAAAGTTCATAAAACAGAGGAAAAGATGGATTTTTGCAGAATGTGCTGGAGAAAAACGACAGTATCTGACCCTTGATACAAGATGATGAAATTAGAGTACCCATAAGTCCTTTTTTGTGCAGCATACGTTGTTCCCTTTGAGATTTGGTATTCTTGCCATTCCTGCCATTCCATTCTCACGAGGGCAAGATGAAAAACTTTGACAACACATCTATCAGCAATATATAACTGTATAGTCCTTAATATTTATATCAAAAGCTGCAGCATAAGCAGGGACAAAGATGTGCTTTGTGTAGCATGGATATGAATGGGTTTGTAAATAAGAACAAGAATTTTAAAAACAGTGCCTTCCGCTGGTGAATCTGCCTGGTGCCAGGAACAGTTGTACACACAATGTTCAGGTCTCAACATCCATCCAGTGTTGTACAACTGCTCACATCAGTGGCTGGGTGCTACTACAGCTTTGTGACTGCACAGATTGAGTCCTGTCCAACAGTGGTCCACATTCTCTGCTGCCTCTCACTTTCTCCCCTTTCAATCACAATTAAAAATTTCACTTTACCAAAAAACAACTTTCTTCTCTGGATTTCAGATAGTTGATCAAAAAGTTTGAGCATTTTCCTTATTCAATTAAAACAAATTTCAAGTTTTTGTTAAAGATAGAAATACTTCAAGTTGTTAAATGAGTCAGTGGTTAGTGAAGTTTAAAACTTAAAGGGCACTTTATTGTACACAGCTTGATCGTAAAGGTTTGATTCAATAACCCCGACTTCCACATGCCATAATTTTTGACCACAGAAAACCGTTTAATACATGTTTTAATGTAGCTTAATATATTCATACATAAAGCAATGTGAGAAGACAGTCAACTGAAGAGAATCCAATCAAGTAGTTAGGCTAATATGACAAAATATCAGAAATTAAAGCCCTATTTTTTTATTTAACCTTTATTAGATCCATGACTTCAAAAGGTGGCATAGGATGTGTGCCCTCTGCAGTTATAGTCAGCAAACTCAGCCTTTTGAAATCAAGTCTTTCTGAACTTTACGCTAACAGAGTTCAGTGGGAGTACACAAAAGTGATGGGTGAACAGCTGTCGTTCAGAAGGCAGAGTTTTGGAAGAGAACCTCAGTGGAGGATAATCAGAACAGCATTGATACCTTGGGACTTGCCTGTTACAAAGATTTGAATGAGGGCTTCAGCAACAGATGACTCCAGTTAAATGCATGGATAGACATGTCACAGAGATGGTAATTGGCAGTTTTAGGGGATGGCATGGATATGTAGCTAGACACTCAATGGGGGTCAAATAGGAAGCCAAGAGAGTGCAAGCAAAATCAATGCCTCAGGAATGGAGTCTGCACTGGGACCTGAACCCATGGGCTTTTGATGTCCCAATAGCTGTTTGGAGGAAACATCTATCCAGCCAGTACCGGATATTAAAAATACAAAATGCAATGTGAGAATGCAGAGGAGTTGAGAGAGGTGGTGGGGATGGTGAAGTAAATTGTCATAAACTGACCTTATATGCTTTAAGAGCATTTAAGTGTCATCTGAAGTTAAAGGCAATTCCATAAATTTCAGACTCTCGCACTGAAGGTTACTGCCCTTGGAATAGCAAGATCAGGGTTTCTTTGAACTCAGCACTAATTCAAATTGTCTTGTTGAGATTTTCCTGTGAGAATCTTGCTTATCTCATTTCCCCACCAGTGAAAATAACATTGATCAGTAATGGGGATGGGGTGTTCACATGTGAAACCTCTCTCCAATTTCTCTGGAGATGGTATAACTTAGTGAAAAATCCAACTCGGGTGTTTGAGTGGGCTATCAAGAGATACCTTCGGACAGTTTCATATTTTCACATTCATTTTTCATGTGGAGGTAATTAATTTCATTAAATCCTCTACAAATCTAGTAAGCCTTTTAGTATAGCGATAGTTATTTAATTTTCTAATCTATTGGTGCAAATTTTACTTGATTTAGTATCCACAATACTAAGTTCAAACTGAGGCCTTCACACCATTTAAAAAGTCTATTCGTTTCTTGGATACAGCTTGTTGCCACACAATTTCCCACTTCGATCCACCAACTAGTGCATAAATTTTCCATAAGGTTCAGATAGGTGACAGTTGAGATATTGGAACGAGGCTTGAAGAACAAAAAAAAAACCATGCTGGCATGTGACGTGCATCTTTTATTCCAAATTTAAATTCAGAGCTATTTGCAGATCATAGGAAACAAATATTCAATTTTTCCAAATTAATAAAAATCAGTTTCTTTTAATTTTCTCTCCTTTAAAATCTGAGACCTAATAATGGCTATAAACCAGCCAATTAGTACGTAGGCCAACTCAACTTTTTGTGTGGGTAATAATTTACTCACCCATTTAGCTGCCATCTCTCACTAAAAGCTTCCTTGAAGGAAGGTAGTGGCATAGGAAATCACCAGCAGGGAGTCAAGACACTATGTACCAAACCATGGAATGTGTACAGGACAGCTACTTGGCTGAAAAGTGCTTGTGCATTGGAGCACCAATATGCCACAAAGTAGAGATAAGGTGTAGAGCTGGATGAACACAGCAGGCCAAGCAGCATCAGAGGAGCAGGAAGGCTGACGTTTCGGGCCTAGACCCTTCTTCAGAAAATCATTTTCTGAAGAAGGG